GTGTGGCTCGTGTATACAGTGTGCCGCGCAACTTTGCGCGAAGAGCAATGAATAGTGTATCACGATATACACGCACACATATACAGGGAGAGAGTCTGATGCGAGCTGCTGTGTATAGCTAGTCTAGCAGCTGCGACGGTATATACGAGACTGCAATACTCGATAAATTCAATCTCACGCGAAACGCGATTCTCAAACTTGCACACTGCACTGCACTATGTGTAGGTAGCAGGTATACCGGTACTGCTGTACACGGAGGGGGCGAGATCTTCTGTGAACCCTTTGAATGTGTGTATATTGTGGCGCGCGCAGGCGAGTCTTCGGGCTTTTTTTCGCTCTTAGTTAGAAGAACGCGAAAGCGGAGAATCGGAAGATTAAAAGACGCGGAAAAAGGCAGTAGTATCGGGCAAAGTTCGTACTCACTTCGAGCTCGATGCTCGCTTAGTACTTATCATTGCTCTCAAACCCGCGTTGTGTATCGCGAAAATAATTCCGAGCTCTCGGTCCCTCTCTCGTTCTCGCCAGGCCTCGAGGGGGTAAAAGAACGCACCCGATCGTGCATGGAAAAAGGAAGAACGGGACTCGCCATAGCTCATTATAACGGAAATCTCTCGAGAGACAGAGAGAAGCGTCGAGCCCTGTGCTGCGGAATGACGCGTGTAACAACGACAAATACACACACACATTCGACTATATACTTGGTTGGGTTGCGGCCTTTTTCGGACACACTGGCCGACCGACGCCAAGCGATTCGAAAGATTAACGACGATATTATGCGCGCGAGCGATATTTTTCGATGTACGCGCGCGCCACGTACTATACACGTGCAGAGGTGCACGCAGGCAGGGATATATTGTAGCGGCCGTGTCATAAATCCGGTTTAATTCTCAATAGTATTATGCGCGTATATACACCACGAGCGCGTCGAGACAGCTCGTCGGTTTAAATGAGTTTTTGTCCTCTCTTCCTCTCTCCCTGTTTGCACACATCCCGCACGGAGAATGAACATTTTTCAAAAATTTTCGTCCGCACTTCCCCCCCCCCCCTGTGTGCTGCCTCGTCGAGCTTAAAATTTATCCATGGCGTAAGTATCTTTGAGCCGAGAGTTGCTTGCTCGTGTGCGCGAGTGAGTCTGCCTCTGCTGCTGCTGCTGCTGCTGCTGAACGTGTCAGGCAGCGTGTCTGGGTGTAACGAGTTCGATCCTCGTCAGCGAAAAGTGAGTCCTTTGCCAAACTTCAACAAAAGCACACACACATACCCCATAGCTCTGCTGCTGCAGCCATCCTTCGCAGAAGTTCTCTCTCTCTCTCCTTGGTACGAAGACGATTTATCACCGCGATGGATAAGATTCGCTCGGCAAACAAAGTCAACTAGTCTCGCCCGTCCCACCACTGTATGCCCTTGCAGTTCGCAGCTTTCTCTCTCTCTCTCTTACTCGCTCAAGTTCCACCGAATGCCTGGCCGAGTGTAATGAAGTGTGACCCGAGCGATAATCCCACTGATTAGCTTAATTATATAGCTAAAAAGGCCGCTGGTTTATACGCAGAGAGCCTATAGACGTGTAGCCGAAAGAGAAAGAGAGACAGAGAGGCAGAGAGAGGATTATTATACCAACTATAAGCGTTATCTGGCCCAACGCCTAATTTACGAGAGCTCGTTTCGAGCTTTTTTTTTTATTCTACACCTTCTTCTTCTTCTACTTCTTCGCTCGTATGCGCAGTTCAAGCCGCTGCGCGATACACACACATAGCATACATTATGTATAAATAAACACGCGATCGATCGTTTCTCTAAACTCCTCGCTATTATATATATACATTTCTTTATCTCGGGACTGCTGCTGTATAGCTCGCGTGTAAAGCACGCCCTGCGAAGAATAAGCGCCAAGGCAGAGCTTTTTGCTCCGCTGCGGCCTGGTGTGTATACTGTGGCTTTGTTCGTTGCGTTATACCGTGTACGTATTTATTGTTATAGTGCGGCATGATCTTAGCGCAATGAGATTAGCTGTAACGATCGCGACACGGTTGGCCGCAAAAAGGTATTTACCTTTAGAAAAATTATATTTTTTCTCGCAATTTCTTGCGATGCAACGAGATCTTAATTTATATGGAAACGTATACTCGATTTTGTCAACTAATGGTAAGAAATTTATAATAAATCAAGTGCAAAAAATATCACGCTTGAACAAAACAGTAACACACACGTCGGACGACTTACGAATCTTTTAATTCTCGTATAGAAAATTGGTACGTGTCAAATAATTGCGAAACGATTCAGAGCTTGTAAATCCGATTGTTTACAATCACGTAAGACAAGTAAACGATCTATCGCTGTGCTGTGCGTGGCTCTATAAACCATTCTCACTTCAAAAAAAATCATTCATTTTTTTCTTAAAAAATTCAAAAATGGAATTTGACAACGATCTGTCATGCTACGCGTTTGCCGATAGTGTAAAGCAAATTCCGGTGTCACAAAGGGCAGGTCGAAGAAAAAAATCGAGTGACACGGGAGCACAATGATGTGAAGGAAAAATTTTCAGATGAGCAAGATGAATCAGGAAAGAATTTTTAGACAATAAGCACGGCGAATCGAAGGAAGATGAGAGCGAAAAATGTATACTCTATTAAGATATCCGACTGTGATAAATAAATACCTTGATTTTTCAAATCGACCGCTACCCATGAATCCGCAGCCCCCGAGGGCAGCTACCGCGCGCGTATCTATAATGCAACCATGGAGCACGAAAGTTCTGCTGTAGTTTTAGTTATTTTTTTTTATTGTTTCGTAATATTTTTTCAGGCATTCTTTTATCTGTGTCAGCAAATATCTGTACGTGTATATGTGAATGCCTCCGGTCGACTCAATGTTACTAGATTTTTTTGGTTGCTTTTTCTTCTTCTTTTCTCTTCTTCGTTGTTGCACAGATATATATTTGCGATATTGCACAATGTGCATGAAATTTTTTTGTTCGTACTGTATCGAGAGCAGTTTCTAACTGCATTAAGATCGCATAAAGTTTCGGATTATTATACGTATATATTTATCAGAAAAATCTTTTTGCTTTACATCCGGGTATAGAAAAAAAATGGCTCGAATATTTCCTGCTCGATAGACTATTTCTGGGCGAGGCGATCGGAGAGAGGAGCTGAATTTTCGTTTTATTAAAAAATATCCCATCCCTCGAGTGAAAACTCCTACACATATACGTGTATATATATTATAATAAAATTGCGTCCGCGCTGGTAAGCTGCATCTATGTTCTCTGGGTTATATGGGAAAGTATATGGCAAAATATCAGATTGTAAAAATGTTTAAATCAACGAGAAACGTCAAGACAAAATTGAGTTATATAACCCAAGCAGCAGCAACAACGGTGTACTAGTGCAGGCGCAGGAGTGCTGCTGTACTATACGCGCACACCCACACACACATAGACCTAGCTACCCACACGACGCGCGTTTGCAATGCGAAATCCAATTAATTTATTTTACAATGTCGTATTCACCCGGCCCCGACTAAAAGCTCTAGTGCATATATAGATACACACGCACACAGATACACGGAAACTCACGTGTATATATACTCTTCGCGCAGTATCCCTCGTGGTCCTCGACTCTCGTATATATACAAACCCGTATATATACGTGCAGTGCGCGCATATGTATGTATATTTATGTGTGCACGAGTGTGTACGCGCCGCGTACATATAGAGAGTATAAAACTCCCCCGAGCAAAGCGATAAATTATCCCTAGCTTTCCCATAAAAAAGCAAAGTTTTCCGCAAGCGCAAGCTCGCGCGCGAGAGAGCGAGCCCTGACCCCCCGAGAAGAGAAAGAGAGAGAGAGCGAGAGTAAAAGCGATATTTTTCGGTTTATAAAAATGTGGAGTAATTCTGCACCACGGGGGGGTACACACTGATACTTTCTACCTCTTATGGTATAAATATACGCCCGCGCATACACACACTGGCAGCGTCAGCCTGCGTGTCATAGCCGATCGTAAAGTTTTTGCTATGTTTTGTTGTTTTTGTTTTATTTTTGTTGCTTTTTTTGCGTCCACCCTTGTGCCGTATTATATTCTCTTAGCGAGCTTAAGCTCGAAATTATCGCCTTTGCAGCGACAGTAGTAGCAGCAGCAGCAGCAGGAGCAGCAGCTTCGTTGTCGTCGTCGTCATCAGTTATCCTTCTGAATAATAAAACCCGTGAACGAAAATTCGCCTCGTGAAAAATGCAAAATATGCACGAGAGAGGAATAGAGAGCTTACGAGGCTTTCGCGCTCGGTCAAATGTATATTATTATACTCCGTCTCTCTCTCTCTCTCTCTCTCTCTCTCTCTCTCATCGCTCGATTGGTGACGCTCGCTCGAGCTGCGTAGCTTTTCTCTTCTCTTCCTCTCTGCAGCTTGACATTTTCACACCAGCCAAGCTGCTCCGCCCGTGTGTGCTCATCGAGGCACGTAAGAATGAAAAATCCACACCAGCTGTCTCTTCTCACTTCCGTCTTCTCTCTTTCTCTATATACTCTACACATACACTTTCTTTTCATACGTATTACAAGGTATAATACGCGAGGTGTGCGCGAAAGAGATATACCAGCTCGAGTAACGTATATAAAGGTGCGGGTGTGTGTGCATCGTGCAATTTTCCAGCGTACATGGCACGCACACGTGTGACTGGCAGCATTGTCATTTGTGGCGAGTGGCGCGGCGCGTATACAGCTTTTGCAAATATGCCACAGCGGCAGCCGTGCGTGCGATATAATGCACACATACTTTCGCGAGCGAAGCTGCACCGGATGCGACGCAACCAGGTAAATTGGCTGCTACGTGGTTCCGTTGAGAGATTGGCATTATTCGAAATAAATGCCCCAGCGCAAGCTTCGTGTAATATTTTTCAACGAAGATTTTCTCGATCGCCAAAATTTTGCAATGGGCGCGCGCGCGCGAGATTGATTTGCATAATCCATCATAAAAAAAAAAAGAAGAAATTAAATGAACTTACCACAAGGCCCCTGATGCTTGACGCGCATCTCCTTGCGTTTGAGGCAGCTCGTGCGACGCAGCTGGCACTGATTGTCGTAGGTGACGCCGTCCTCGCCGCAGACCGGCAGCCTCGCCTCGGGGCACGTCTTCTGGCACTGGCACATGGCCTGGCCGGCGTCCGACACGACGCACGTCATGCCCCAGGCGCAGAACGTCTTCTCGCATGGCTCTGCAAAAGAATAAAAGAAAACATACATTATAGATGGCGCGTAAATAATTATCTATTATTTATGGAAATTCTGTATCATTGTATCGTTAATGTAAATATCAATGGTAGCGTCGAATCTCGACAGTCGCGCGCGCGAATGTAAACATTGTTGTACACGCTCTCTCGTTCGGTGATACATACTTTTACCCGTGATAAAGTGAGAAACGAAGAAAAATATGTTCGGAATAGGTGATAAACGAAGAAAAGAAATGCCCGAACTAGGTGGGAAACGAAGAAAAGAAACGCCCGAAGAAGGTGATGACGAATCGATCCCGGACGAGAAGGAGGAGGAGGACCAGGACCATCCTCTGGTGGTGAGCAATCTCGGCAATTCCCAGATGTACGAGCGCATACTCGACGTGAGAAACGTCCGCTTGGAAGAGATAGACGAGTCGGAGTGGTACGATCCGAAAAATCTAGAGTTTCAAAATGACATAGTCTACGAGATGGCAGAAGTAGTGTCGACCCACGACGAGTTTCAATACATCGTCTGGGACTTTGCTGGGCAGGAGCTGCTGTTCGTGCGCCGATTCAGGCCCGGGAATTACGTCATAAGTCTACCGGATTTGCCATACCAGAGCGAGGAGTCGATAAACACGGACGTTCATTTGCCCTACAAGGGTATCACGATCGAACCGTCGAGCTGCAAGCAACTGGACAAAAAACGGCCCTGGTTCGAGTACTGTCGCGAACAGCTGAGGAAGGATTTCGGCTACGAGGTGCCGAAACACTTGATCGTCAAGGCTAAGAGCGTCATGTGAGTGGAAACTCTCGCATTATATACTTTTTGTCGATCGATATAATCATCATAAATAAATGATACAAATGATGAGCGCAGCGAGTCAGCCCCACCGACCATCACGAGCAAGCGCGTGCATTACATCTACGCGGAGGTGAACGACAGCATGAAGCTCAGCGAGGAGAAGCTTGCGGCGTTGGGCCCGCCGATGCACCAGGTCGTGCGAATGACCATCGATCAGGCCGTCGAGTTCGTCGAGTCGCGTCACGTGCCGGGCCCCGTGTCGACTTTGTTCGCCATACGCTGGTTCATGTACAACAAGAAGGCCCACTTCGACGGTTATTATACGTTTTTCAATGGCCTAATCGGTACGGAGAAGTAGTCGAATCGTTATGTTGTTTTATCAAGTTGTTGCAAAATTATTTTTAATTTGTCGATTACAAAAAAAAATTTTAAAGTTTTGAAGGATATTTCTTTTGTATAAATTTGTATATTTAAAAAATATTTAAAAATGAAAGAAACAATTATTATTCTAATTTGTTTATTTTTTAATTTGTTTATAGTTAATACCTATTTTTATTATTGTTGTAAAAAAGTCGAATTATTATTCATAACACACCGATACGATACATCTGTAAACTCGCGCGCGTCGCCGTACTGATGCGCAGTTGCGCACTGCGCATGACGTCACTGACTCGCCTCGTTTCGTGCGCAGTGCTAGTAAGAGATAGAGAACCGGTCACCGGCGCGCTGCTGCGCGGCGATAAAAAGAGAGGGAAATAACCAGCCGGCTGCTATCTATACTTGCCTCTGCACTTTCTATTCTACACGCCCACACACTTTCGAAGAAGCTCGTCACAGACACACAGCTGCAGTTCTCGCGACTGCATGTGTGTAGGGCTACTAACCGCTAGGCTGATTATCACGTGCACGCCAGAGAAGATATTCGAGTGAGTCTGTCAATTGCCAGTTCGTCTTCAAGCTTCTAAGAGTTAACAGCGCCAGTTTGTTATTAAAGTTATTAACGATTGTTGTATGTACAAGATGTCTAGAGATATGGAGAAAAGAAATAGAAGTAGAAGGGACTCGCCGATAGATTACATGAGAGCCGAAGACATCAAGAGAGAGAGTATGTATATAGCCTAAAACAAAATTTAGGGTTTCGTTACTTTTATTCTACCTTATTCTACAACGCACAACATGGTCGTGTGACACGCCAAGAATCTTAACCTCGCACGAGGAGGGCAATACACGAAGCTCGAGCTCGATGCGGCCATTTTGAGAAGCGCTCTCGCCGCGTTTCATTACTGGCTGCACAATGCGTGCATTTCATATAGACAAACCGGCAGATGCACACGTTATATGTGTATCAAGAACACGTCCTGCGTTGAAGTGCTGGCATTTGAATATTAAGAGGTTCACAAGATATTTTCGTGGTATCACACGCTCGTAGAACTTCTGTGTGTTTGTGTGCTAGACGAAATCTAATAGGATTTCAAGTGTCATTTGTGGCAAAGAGGTGTCTTGAAAAATTGACGTTTCTATTCTAGAATATATATCAATATTATATGAAAATTTATCATTTATACCGACAACAGAATTGATATTAATGCAGAATACAATGTTTGATCTTTCAGAAAATCAAAAGATGAGCTATTCGAGTTCTCGGAACAAGAGTCGCAAGTCCAGCTCTAGAGGTATTTTATCATTTACACTGTAATTCTTATTACAATTTGATAAGTTAAAGAGAAATTATTAATTAAATTATTTTTAGAGCCTGACAGTAGACGTTCTTCCAAGACTAGAACACCAGACAATGCTAAGGAATTATCCAGAGAATATATGGAGAATATCTGGGAGATGATGAAGAGGCTAGAGGACAACCTTGGTATACAAAGCGAGACCATGACGCAAATGTCAAATTTAGTGGAAAAAATGATGGTCTCGACACACAACATACTAGAGCTAGAGGAGATAAGAGCAAAAAATTTAGAATTGAAGAAAAAAATAATGAGGACCAGTCCTAGTCCTAGCATTGAATTGCCAATAGAGGTAGATAACATTTTGCTTAAAATTAGTGTTATAAATATTTCATTAAATTTTATTCACAATAGAATGAATCCTAAAGCTAAACTCTAATCTGTTTTAATACTCGATCAGTCCGCGACTGCAGTGTTGATTGTAAACTTGTTTTACCAACGATATTGTTACACGTCTCTGAAGAATTTTGTTTTTAGAATTGTTGAAGATATGAAAGTGTTGTTTTTTACAGGAGGAAGAAGACAGAAACGAAGATATCAGAGTAACTTTGTTAAATAAAGCAAGCAGCAAATGGCAACAACCACCAGCACAAGTAGGTCCCAACACACGGTGCTATAGATGCAATAAAGAGGGACACCAATCTCCTGATTGCCCAATCGCTGAATATGGATTGTGGTTTTGCTACTACTGCCAAGCGGTGAAAAACCATAAAGGCAATGATTGCCCAAAGTCAGATGGCTCGTATCACCCGAAAGGTAAAAGAGGAGATAGAGGATCGTATAGAGGAAAAGAGAGATTCCAACCCTATCATGGTAGTAAACACCGTGATAGATAAACTATATCAAGTTATTTCCCAACAAAAATTTAGGTATGATTCATGAAGTTGCTAATAAAAATTATATAATATTATTATGGATAAGAGTATAGAAGACTCATTTGCCAAAGATTAAGATTATTTAGAAATAATGAAATTACTCGTGTAGACGCAATTTTTGCATACTAGATGACAGAATAATTACTTTTTTTAACATAGATTTTATTTTATTTTTTTTTAATACAACTTTCAAACTTGTTACTTTCAGATAACCAAGGTTCTACGTTTATAGGTGATCATTCCAATTCAAAGAATCATGAAGTCTGCAGGTTTTAACAAACTTAAACTATTTGTAAATAATTTTTTTGTAACTGTAATCGATATTGGAAGTTATATAAATTTTATTAATGAATAACTAGTGTACACTAACAAAGGCAGTAGTCTTGATAATATCGTATTATATACTGTAATCAATGTTTTGTCGTAATACATCTTCTTGTAATGTATTTTTTGATCTAACGTCTATATGGCCTCAAAAAGTTAATAAAAACTTTGCATGTTTCATTTTTAAATGGCTAGAATCGAGAATTCATTCAAACAACCTATCTTGATCCCAAACAATATTAAAAATAAAAATTACCCCTTAATAAGAAATCTCTGCAACGACCGAGCTCAAGGAAAATTCGAGCAACTTTCGATCTGGAGGATTGGCTGCATTTCAAGTCTTAACATTCCTTTGCAACGTCTATTTGAGAAATTTAATTTTTTTTTTACTTTCTCGATTTCTTTCCTCGCCATATATCTTCGCTGCACAGTCGGCGAGAGTACTTTTCTTTCAAAATGAAACATTCGGCGCAGCTACAGCGGTGAAGAAAAAAAATCCACGACGTTCCTTTTCTTCGGCTCGCGCGCACGTGTAGGGATAGAAAAAAGCTCCACCGGCAATCAATTTTACGCGTGCCAAGTTCGCTTTATACACATCAAGTCATGTATGTATAGCCCTCTTTCTCTCTCCATCTAAGATTTTGGATAATCACAGCGCTACCAAGCCATTAATATGGAAGTTGAAATTTTTCTCTTCAGCAAGTGCAAAAAAATAGAGAGGAAACCGCATCACTTAAGTTTCTTTTCCTAGTCACCCCGTGCATCTGATGAATGATGATACAGCCTATAGAGGAGAAATCTGCTGGTGATATCCATGCGTATACTTTGATGAAAAGTACATGCGTGATTGATTGCGCGTTAACGAACGTACATGATATAATTCAAAATAAATAATAATGGAGCAACATCTGAGTACTTAAATACAACAACCAAAAATTGTTAGTTTCAAAAAGCTTTTTTAATTCTTATTAGTTTAAATAACCATTACTGATATCTTATTAATATTACTTGATATCAGCTATAGTTTGGATGTATCACAAAGAAATTCAGTTAAATCTGGAGTAAACATGATTTATTGAAAAAATACAAAAAATACACAAGTATTACAAATAAATTAGCAGTTTTTCGAGAACTGCAGTACCATATTACACCCAAAAAATAAATATTCAGGTAAAATTAGCAGAAATATTAAAGAAAATCAAAAGGACCAAAAAACTAAAAAATCTAATCAGAAAAAAGAAGACACATCTAGCGTTTCACTTCCGGTGCCTATATGTACAATGAATGCTAGATCATCAAATCCACAGAAGTGAACTGCTTACCGTTTTTCAATTTAAATATATTTTTCACTATTTCTAATTTTTTGTTGTTTTTACAATCTTGCCCAATGTATTTTTTGATTCTCGTGGTTCTTTATTTCGACGTTGCACGTCACAACAGCTGATCCCGATTACGAAATCGGCCCGGCGAAAGGAAATCCTCCTCTATTTACGCGAAGCAGCAGGCACACACACATCCACGTTCGCGATATCTTTGCTCGAATATTTATACGTATAATACATACATATTTTCGACGTGTTCGTGTGCGCGCGTGTGTGTACATTGGAAGTAAACCCGCTACTAGGCTGTGGGTATACTTACATGTAAACATATTGCCATATTGGCTGTGCTTGCATTTCATCTCTTCCGAGTATTTTCGCTCGCGCGCGCACTCGATTTCGTATTATGTGCTTGCCGAAGCTCTGCATATATAGCGCGCGCATATAAAAATACACATATATTTACGTTACATATTTGCATACTGCACATTTGTATCGGAAAAAATGTGCATTACCATACGCACACATAGCTGATTTATTATGATATCCTATATCACAATGCCGCTGCCGCCGCTGCTACCCAATGGATTGGCAGATCACTGTCGTGACGGTCTATAAACCGATGTTTAGTATAACCGAAGGTATAGTGTAACGGTATCGCATTCATCCTTCAAAGTTGATCTCTCTCTACCCTTTTTTTTTTCATTTTTTTCGCTTCCTTTTTTTTTTTTTTTTTTGATTTCGATTTATCGACTATTCCGCTCGATCAATGCTCGGCAAATAAATACATCGATCGTGCGCGGGAGTAAGCACTCGTGTATATAAAAGCAAACTTTTAATTTCAGCTAGCCGTGTGTGTTCAACGTGTACCGTATAGATATGTGTACGAAAGCACATACAGCGATGCGATGTAACGCCGACGATCGCGAGCTTTTTCACTTGATATGCACCGAAGTATTACGAAGTAAACAAAAGCTCTCGTTAGGTATTATAAGTATAATATACACACACATACATACACATGCACGAATGTGTATAGGTACGCGGCAGGTAGTTGCGCCGAGTTGGACGGCGAGGGTCAATGCTCGGGTCAGCCGATCGTATCGTTTGCCTCGTGTACATCGTAAAGCAGTGGCCCAAGCCATTACAGCACACGTACGTACGTATAATACGTACACACCGCGCACACGAGTGCGCGCCTCCGCTCAAGGATTCGCATTTTGTGTTGTGTGTGCGCGCCTCATAAAGCCATGTATACACATTGTCCGAGATAATTGGTAAAACAAGCCAATCGATGATAATTCAGAGCGAAAACACGACGAAATTACATCGAAACAAAAGAAGAAAGAAGAAGCAATCCGCAAGCTCGAATCGTTTTGGTTACGCTATGCGTATATAATAATGATGATGATGATGATAATAATAATAATAATAAAAGCTCTGCGAGCTCCGTGAAAATTCTCTCTACGCCTCGCCACTATACATTATATATCGATGATTTCGTTGCTCATGATCGAGATAGTCTCGCTTCTTACGCTTTTGTACACATACACGGAAGTCGACGGCTATATATTTAGCGCCGCTGTTGCTGCTCATCGACTGCTGTATATATAATATAGCTTGTGCCATGCACTAGCGCACGTGTGTGATATTACGCGCACGGTGGCCGAGGCTAGCAGCAACATCTCCTATATAGCTAACCAAACCCCCCTTCCCTCTACCCCGTCCACTCCGCACGTGTATGGCGTAAGGGTCTACGCCAATGGTATCTTTCTTCAATCTAACCACGATTTTCTTACTCGCTCTTATTCGCGTGCGATGCTTAATTAATCGTGCACTACTGCCACCGCCGCCCGCCGCCGAGTAAGCACAAGCCTGGTTGAGCTTTCACATGAGTTTGTGTGCGCTTGTGCAAAAGAGTAATTGAATTTAGTCGCCCTTTCTCGACTCCTATATACGCGCGCGTGTGTGTCGGACGAATTAAGCTTGAAAGATGGGGTAAACAATTTATTTTTAGATATATATAAACCTCGCTGCCTCTCTCTCTACCTGGCACGAGCGCAGGCGGTGGTGGTGGTGGTGGTGGCGGAGCGTCAGTAGTGGCTTATATATAATAGGAATTTAAATTGCTGCAAGTTTTCGGACACAAAGCTCGGCAGAGAGGCTCTACCAAAGCACGATGCGTACGTGCCTCCTTCGTTAGATATATATACCCGATATGAAATTCAGACAAATTCAACAGATTATACCGCACACCAACAGGCCTACCACGGCTGCCACCAGGTAGATATATGCGATCGCGTATGACGAAAAGTGATTAAAAGCTGATGATGAAAATTCCGAGTCAATACGAGGTCCCGCGTTATCGATCCTATCTCGTGCTGCTGCAGAAAGCGAGAAAAATGCTAAAATTAAATCAAGCGAGCTTGCGCGCTGCGCCGCGACACAGCAGTGTGCACAGCAGCAGCAGCAGCATCTCTCTCTCTCTCTCTCTCTCTCTCTCTCTCTCTCTCTCTTGAGAGAGGGTAAGGAGATACTTTATTATCCTTTCAGCTGAAATAATTTCAATTTCTCCGTGTGTATATACCGGTAGTAAGAGATAGAGAGAGAGTGAGAGGAAGTTGAAAAAAAGCAGCGACGCGAACGTTTTTTTTCTTCTTTTAATATAACTCGTAGAAAGTGCGCGACAGAGGAAGGATGGAAGAAAAAAGATAAGTGCGCGGTGGCGTCGCCGAGCGACGACGTGTGTTCGATGAGGGAGAGAAAGAGAGAGAGAGAGAAAAAATAAAATAAAAATCGTATATATAGGAGCCGGATCGACTATCATGTAGCGCGTCGACGAACATACAGAGCAGCGAAGAATATATAAAGTTGTTTTAATTAAGTGTAAAATTAATGCTTTCCCATGGGCTGTGCCGTGCTCTATAGGTCGCGCATTCCCTCGATAAATAACCGATATACAGCGGTCAACTCTGTAGCAGCAGCCCTGAGAGAAAGAGAGAGAGAGAGAGAGAGAGAGCTTTACGCGAACGATAAGAAAGTATACATTATATGGCGCACGGCAGTACACAGTATATAAAAAAACTGATTTAAAAACATTGCCTCGGACCAAAGTGCACATGCTCCACTTTTATTTATCCACTGCGCTTCTTTTTATTTTTCTTCTTTCCTTACTTTTTTTTTCTTCTTTCTTTCTCACATCTCATTGATTTCATGTATAAATTTTTACCTCGATGGAGTTGCTTTAACTAAATGGAAAGCATATATGCACGTACGCTTTTTCTCCCTCTCTCTCTCGCGCGCGCGCCGCACCGTTCTCACTCGAGAGTACGTGACTTTTTTAAAGCTTACCATACTACACGCGCCGGGGCGAACATAGACATAAATTTCGCACGTCCTTTGCTTTGCCTCGAGCATATTTTTATATAAATCTATACATTTTTGTAATTTTTTTTCGCTAGCTTTTTTATATTTTCTATAACTTTTCCAGAACAAGCACACGCAAGGTAATGTGTGTGTGTGAGAGAGAGAGAGCGAGCTTGACCATTACTTTGAAAAATCGGCCCGCTTTTATATATATAATGCAGTGGCGCGGTTGCGTTTAACAATAGGGCTTTGTGCTGGGTCGACTGCGTGAGCTGTGCGCGCGTGTCCCTTTTTCTTCGCGCTCTTATCTTTTAATGTTTTCCGTACTCTCTTTCTCTCGTTCTTTTAACATTCAATAACGCTTGACGAATGTCCGCCATATATTTTTCTTGCCCAATGCGTGTTTTCCTTTCACCGTGCAGCGCAGTGCGCGCGCCATATTATATACCATGCCGAATATAATTTTTTAACCCTCCTCCGCAACGAATAAATCAATATACTCT